CTACACTCAGCACCACTACAGTAACAGCTTTTCCAAAGGCTTTTCTAACTGGTTAATGATGAATTTTGGTTTTCCTCCAAATACATGCAAACCAGTGGGATGTGCATCTCTAACAGATGATGTTCCCTGGTTATTTTCCTTGACAGGACCATACTTTTGGTTCTTTAGTAAGAATTGTGTGAGATTTTATCGGGGTCGAGGGTGGTCCCCAATAATCCTTTTGAGGGTTCTCAGATATTCAGGGTATAAGTGGCAAAATAAAAGAAGAGCAGTACAACCATGGCTTAGCAACATAAAACACTTTAACAGCAGTGAAAGTAAAAGTGGAATGAGGCCCAAAAATCCAAATACAACAACCAAGGGGGTGAGGTCTCTTTAGGAGCTGGTGGTTGAAGACAGGGATCAAAGGAGATTCAGGGTTAAAGTATGGGGTAGGAGAGGAGGTGGAGTTGAGGTAGGGTCCAATGGGTATAGGGGAAAGTGATGCAGAGGTGGGACAAGGGGAAGCATGGTCCAATGGGTTAGGTGGGGTGGAACAATGCACCAATTGGGGGCCAATGGGAACACAAGGAAGGGAGAACATTCTGGATATGGGAGTGGGGGTAATTGACTATCAAATTAGATATTAACATGGGCCATCCCATAACATTATTTTTTGGGGTCACCACAATATAAACAAAAGCTTCCCACGGTCTAGGGGTGGGATACAACTCTTCTTCATTGGTGGTTGCCTGACTGGGATATCAGTCAGGCTGACCCCCACAGGACTTTTTTCCTCCTCTTTGTGTGTTGCCCCAGAGGTGACACCAGTGTCACTGACACCAGTGTCACTGGTGGGCTTGGCTCTTGCCAGATCCCTCTAGAAGCCAGGTGGGATTGGCTCTGTTGTGCACAGGAGAAGGAGATTCTGGTAATTTCTCACAGAAGCCACCCCTGCAGCCCCACCACCACCAAAACCTTGCCCCAGCCACAGAAAAATGAAAAATGTGGAAGGAAAAGCTTCTCTGAGAATATGTGGATATTATTTCCATCAAATATTTATATACAAATGAATAGCTCAGATTGTTTGTTAATTGGTGTCAGTGGAGAAACTTGTGTGCTTCCACGCTCTGCTTTCCGTGTCCTTTTCAGGCAGGTCCTGTTCTTCATTTACCTTTATCTTTGGGGACTCTTTATGAACATTTTTGTCTTTTTAACTTCTCTTTAGTACCAGGGCTATTCAACAAATCCTCAAGACTGCTTCAGTGTCATTTAACTAAAATATCTTTATTCAGTCTATAACTTTGGCAGCAACATTATCAAGATGCTCAGTGGCCTGCATATTCACTTAAAATATGCTATATATGAGGAAAAGATATTTGTATATTCATCAGTGATGATATAATAGAAAAATTATAATATCAACCTTCTATTGCCAATAAAATAAGTTATAAAAAGCTAAATATTTAAAACAGTACATATTTTTCTTTATTAAATATTGGAAAGAAAACCTGTATTTACTTTTTAGCTGTTTTGTTTAGCAATGCCAAGTTATAGGTTCACATATTCACATATAAGTGAATATGTGAAGTTTTCCAAGGACAAGGAGAGTGTAAATATTGCATAAGCAATATATCTGTTTATTTTTCAATTTTTCAAGTAGATTGGTTTTTTTACTCAAGAATATTTTATTTTCTTACCGTGAGGTTTTAGGGCTTCTGCTAATCTGTCTCTTTTTTATTTGAAAAACTTTTATCTGTCCAACAGACAAGGCATTGCTGGGAGAATCAGACATTAAGGATTGGCAGCTCATTCCAAAGCATTCAGACAGAATCCTTATTTAAGACAGCATTTAGTATGAAGTTACAATCTTTTTAAGGCAGAAGTCAAGTGTGTTTAACTTGAGGCACAAAATGAAGCATAAATGATTCTGAAGAGAATTCACTATCTGGCAACAGAGGAATTGGGCCAATAAAGAGTATCCAAATAAACTATATTTTGGGTTTGTTTTAAGAAGAATCTATTAAACAAAAAACAACAAAAAAACCCCAGCTAATGAATGAAACAATCAAACACACACAAAAGAAAAAAAAAACACAGAAAAATAAAACAAACAAAACCCCAAACCCACCAAAAATTAAAAAAAAAAAAAATCCAAACCAAACCAAAAAAACCCAAAACAACAGAACGGTCCTAAAGAAAAGAGGGAACTCTGTCACTGCAACCAAGTATATGATTGGAGGGTTTTAGAAAAATCTTCTGCAAATGGAAATGCAGGTCTGGTTGAGCACATTAAGAAGTTACTGTTTTACCCACTATAGTTTTAAAGGTGGGAATTAGGAGGGCTCTGATGGAATTATGTCCAAGTAGCAGGTAATGAGAAATTAAATATTTCAGACACATGCAGTCTGTGAGAGAGCTGTTGGGTCTTTGGGCTGAGCAAAGAGTGAAGGGAGCACTTAAGGTGAAGAAGGTTTCTGCTGCAAAAGCTAAGTGACTTGGAACTCTTTTCAAAAAATGTAAATTAAAATGTCACAGGAGACACTTGAAAATCATGAAATAGAAGAGGTCCAGAGAAGGGTGACAATATCATTAGAGACCTCGGATGGCTTTGTAAGAGGATAGATTTGGAATTATTAGAACCCTCTTTATGGAGCAGAGAGCAGTGAAATAGGACATAAGAAGCCTGAAAATAATGAATTAAAAGACCCACATTTATCGCTTTTATAGATGAATATGTATTTTTTCACCAAAACATAAAAATAGTCTGGGGAACTCACTGCCACAAGCTGTAAAATATTGGGTGGTTTCTGGTTGGGGTATTCTGTACAATGTAGGTCTTAAGATGCAAGAGCAAAGAGTTTTAGAAATTTTGGTGTATCAAACATAGCAAGATAATGATGAAATTTATTTCAAAAATGGCTAATTTTAATAAAGAATTTATAGAAATTTCCCCAAAGTACTCACAGGTAACTCAGACAGAGGAACAGATTAGAAGCAATAGTTTACCTAATGTACAAATTCCATATGGGAATCCAGAACTCAGCCTGACAATTTTGCTTCAGTTCAAAGAATCACTTTAAGAATGTATTTGTGTAGTTTGCTAATATATGCTTTCCTAAACTGGATTTCAATATTTTATTATGTATAACTTTTTGCCTACAATGCAGTCCTACAACAAAACCAAGGTTGGAATTCATTCTTTCACATTAGCTTTTTATATGTGTGCTCTATTGCATATAAATTTATATTTAGATGTTACTGTAAAAGAAAACAGCATCTGCATGACTGAGTTTTTAGCATTCTTCTAGTGTGGGCTTCCCTGGCATTATTGGTCTGTGGCCAAGTTTCATTAACTCATTTTGCATTCCATTAAAATCTAAATTCTAAAGGCTAAATGCTTTCCCCTCCCATGGAATATGAGTTAAAATGGAAGCAGAAATTCCCAAATGTAATTACTTGTGTGAAAATTCCCTCCTTGGGAACTAAGAATGTGAAATGCAGTGCATGGGAGTGGTGGGACCCTTTAAACAGTCTTGGGTGCAGTGGAGGAAATACAAACACCTCCTGGTTTTTAACTTCTTGGCAAGCAATGCAACAATTGTCGTGAATTCAATGTGTAAATCAGAATATTTGGGTTAGAATTTGTCCTTTAATAGGGCTTATTCCAGTCTGGTTTGTGACCTGAGGGCATTAGTCCTGCAAAAATGTGCTGACAGAGCAATGAAATTTTTCATAGAAACACAGAATAGTTTGGGCTGGGAGGGACCATAAATCCCACCCAGTGCCACCCCTGCCATGGCGGGGACACCTCCCACTGTCCCAGGCTGCTCCCAGCCCTAATGTCCAACCTGGCCTTGGGCACTGCCAGGAATCCAGGGGCAGCCACAGCTGCTCTGGGCACCCTGTGCCAGGACCTGCCCATCCTGCCAGGGAACAATTCCTGCCCAATATCCCATCCAACCCTGCCCTCTGGCACTGGCAGCCATTCTCCCTTGTCCTGGCACTGCAGTTCCTGATTAATTGTCCCTCTTTGCCTTCTCTGTAACCCCTTCAGACCTTGGAAGGGGGATATGAGTTCCCCACACAACTTTCTCCTCTCCAGGCTGAACAATCTCAATTCCCTCAATGTTATTTTTTCCTTACAGCAAATTATTGTCTATATCCATTCTGCCTCCTGAATCTAAGTTCTAGGTAAAAAAGTAATACAAAATAAAAGTAAGAAAGGAATATTTAGGGATGTCCAGTGATCTGGTTTGGTTTATGGATTAATGTACACTTCTACATTTTAATGCAGATATTTACCTTCCAATTATTTGAATCCTCTTTGTTTCTGTATCTCATGGAGAGACTGATTAACTATGTTGGGGGTTGAATACTTCCCTTTTCTTTCTGTGGAATTTCTCCCATTGTTATGCTAAGTGACTACACCTTAAGAACGGTAATGTTCTCTTGCAGGGAGGTGGGTGGAGGGAGGAGGGGAGAGGGGGGAGGAGAGACTGGAAAAAGGAAAGGTGGGACGGGGGTCGGGAGCGAACTGGGACTCTCTCGTTTGGCTCGTGGAGGGAAAGGATGCCCCCTGCTCGGATCTGGCATCTCCCCTGCCATCCCAGCACTGAGATCCACGCTCCCTGCCTTTGGACATCGCTCTGCTGCTCTCCCACCTCACCCTACTATCTCTGGACACTCTGCTGAGCACCACGACCGACACCGTGAGGGGGGAGTCACTTTCCCCATCCCTCTCAACCCTGGGCCGCCGCCATCACCCAGCCCTCTTCAACTGCGCGGGACCTGCCCTGCCCACAGCACCGGTAACTGAGCACAGAGAGATGGCCTGTGGCCAAAAGGGACTGGAACTGAGTTATACTGTTCTGTTCTGTTGTCAATTTTTATAGCTGTTGTTGTTTCCTGCCTTGTTAGATATCAGTAAAGAACTGTTATTCTTATCCCCACATCTCCTGCCTGAAGGCCTCTGATTGGAAAGTAAAATAATTAAAAGGGAGGGGGTTGCATTCTGCATCTCAGGAAAGGGGGTCTTGCCTTTCCTTAGCAAATACCTGTCTTTCAAACCAAGACAGATTTTGGTGCCCGGAATGTGAGGCATTGCCGGAGGGCATTGAGAGAGGGATAGAAAAGGGCATAACAGTTCTTGAATTACCCAAGCTTGTGGTAGGTGACACCATGCTGTCCAGCTTACCCTGGATTGGCCTCCATGTGGTCACTGCTATATCTCTCCCATTTGCAAGCCTTTTTTTAAACATGAGTCTCATAACCAAGGGTACTGTGGCTATTATCTGGTTCATTTTGTGGGTTGATCAGCTGAGGAATGAATGGATTTTTAATTTTCTCTGGAAGATGGCCACATGGATTCAGAGCTATCACACTCTAAGTGTGTGTTTCTGGGGCTACTTCAATAATGGTACTTACTGTGAGGAAGTGGCAGCAGGTGAAATCTTCTCCCAACCCATTACACGGTTTTTGAAGTTCACCCCACCAGTTTTCAAGGGGTTCAAATCCGCTTTAAATGCTAATGACATTATATTGTGGCTAGTGTTGCTTATATCCCTGTTAAACCTGTTCTATCTAACATTCAGAGATAAGGAGAGATTGACTTGGATAACAACCCTGATACCTACCCGAGGAATTAGTGATGTTACCCCAGAGCCTGATCCTGTTCCAGAGACTAGGGATATTAACCCAGAATTTGACCCTGCCCCACAGCCCACCTTGGAAAGGAACCACCCAGAATGGGTGGGGGTGCTAGTGAAGGAGATACATGAGATGGGCCAGATGCTGAAGGAGTACCTCTCCCCAGCTGGTGAGAAACCCTCCCCCTGCCTTAAAGAGG